TGTTAGTATTCAGAAGACTTCCAAATGCTCTGCTAAATCAAGCGCTCACTTCACAGATGAACAGATGACTCTCCATGAAGCATACCATGAAGCGACCCAGCGAATTATTGAATCATGATGTCTTGCGATACTTGAGGTTCTACCACAGGCAGACATATCACCCGACCCTGTGCCTTTGTAGCCGCTTCCTATTGCTTCGTGTTTCTTATCCTTGTATACTCACCTTCTTGGATTTAAAGTGACATATGCACTCCGATAATTTATCATCCCTTTACCTTCATAGACTGTTACGTGCTTTAGTTTTGATTCTTCTAGGCCTGCGTCTTGTTCCTCGAGCAGTTAGTGGTTCCAATGAGCGCAATTGATGATCCCACCCACACTTTACCTCATTACTATCGCCCGGACAGAAAATACTCAGGACGAACCAAGTGAAGACCGACCGAACTCATATAACGATATCCTGGTCGATCTGACTCTGGCGAGCCAGGTCCTAGTATAGATCTGCATCTGCACTTGGATCTTTCATGTGAATCAGCCCTCTATCATTCAGTAAGACTACACCACCCAGAGACTTTCTTCTTACCCTCATTAGTCAGTTTATGCGCTCTGTGTACTGCGGATGGGAATATCCACGTACATAGACACTTCACCGGACCCTCCGCCTGCTATGTAGCTACACTCTCCGACCCTTCGCCACCGTGTTCCTAATTTGCCTTTCTTCAAACATAGCTTCCGATCCCACACATGTCAGAACCCTAAAACACTCCCCGGTGCCTAGTGCCTGGTCTGGCGTTCGTATCCTTCAAGTGAACGTTTCTTAGGGCTGTCTTTCCCAATCTGGAAGCAAGCCGTTACAGCCTGGCCGGAGCCTCATTTTGAGCCGCCCTTTATTTCAACCTCTTTCCCGCTCGCATGTCTGTAGCCAAAGGCGGGAAGAGATTACTGATTCTGTTCCACGTATAGAAGAGACGTCTGATTGAACGCAATATGAGTGCATATCCTACTACTAGGGGATACTCAGGGGACATTATTGACACTAAAATACGGGGATGGACATATTAACGCCCGCAAAAGTCCGCAGTGGGACTTACGAAAGGGCCTCTTGCATGCAGCCCACTGGGATAACGGCGTTGAAAAATGATACAGAAATCACTTCCAAAAGTCTACTGGCCACATTAGGGCCCATCTTACGGTGATTAGGCGAGTTATTGCTACCGCATCATGTCATCAGCAATTTAGTCCCAAAATGGCAGGCTGCGTATGACAACATGCATTGCCCGGATAACTAAGAAGTCCAGATACCATCCGAGAACGATGTGTACCTACGTACGATGCAAAGTGCCATACGGATAGCAAGTTTGTCGCGACTAAAGGAAAGCACATAAATCGCAGGATAAAGCAGACCATTAAAGGCCAGATTGTTACAAATGACTTTATTCGAGGACTATATAATATTATGGATAAGAGGAAGCCGAGATAGAGGTATCAAAAGGGGGATTCGACGTCGGGAGAGCATAAAGCTACCCCAGAACGATTATTTATAACTTAGAGGCCGTTACTCCAAACGGACTTTCTGACATGGAAAACACAACGACGCAGAGAAATTGACATTAAACCATCGCGTACCTTAGGAAGCAGATCAGCAGGCTTACAAATCGAGTTTTAATGGCGCGCAGTCAACAACTTTTCTGATACAGCCTATTCGACTTTCTACCCGGCATAGAAGAAACTAGGCAACTGGAAAGCGCTCTTTCTCTATCTAAGCACTCATAATTACCATCTAGTAACAAGCGAACATTTATCCGGCATACTTTAAGATGCTAAATAAAATTAAAGAGGGCGTCCGCACTCGGTCAGTGACAGAGTAACAACAACCATTAAGTGCACTTCCTTACACAGCAAGCGGTTACTAATCCTAAGATCCTTCTTACAGAAGGAAAAACTAATGAAAACAATAATAACAGACAACGAAACCTAACAATAAAAAGAAGACTTTGAAATTCTAAAAAGCTTCTGTGGATATTGGGATTTAGGAGAGTATAGTATCTCAACTTTCATTATGCTGAGATATGTACTGACTATGAAAGATTGCGTTGGAACTATCGGCTATTCCCTTTGTCTCTCGTATTTCTGTGGCTCCATAGGCCGCATTCGAGCCAATAGAGCAAGTCAACGGGCTTTCGAATAATTCAAACAGTGGGATCATCGATATGGGGCCTTTGACGGTTGAAGTCGTTGAGGAACAGCTCTAGTCACGAATTCTTAGCCTCAATAGACACGCGAATGCTACAGAACCAATTTTGCGCATTCAGAGGTCATCTCGAAGAAGAACAGTACTAATCAATTTTTACCAAGACATCGAAGAAGAACTTCTACTACCTCAACGTGTAATTGAGTATGTGATTCCGGAATGGGAACCAACTTATGGGTATATACATTATTCAGATGGAGTGACTGGATACGGTACTGACTCCCAACAAGACTTATCTATCTGCAAAGAGAAACAACATAGCAATGGGAGATTCTTTGGAAGAAACAGGTATGGTGGAAGATGACAGCCGGTGCAGTCCGGCTGGAGGCTTTGAAGCAATAAGTGTGGGGGAAACCACGCTGATATCTGTTCCGAATAGTCCCAAATCAAGTGTGTTACCTAGCTAAATTTCCCTAGGAGTGCCTTCAGGAGAGCATACAGAAGCAGGGAGGTTCGCCTAAAAAAAACACAGCCACTCCAGCAGCAGAACTTGCATATAAAAAAAACCAGGATGGACTAGCACCCCCAGTCCAAAGCGAACCTCCCTGCTTCTGTATGCTCTCCTGAAGGCACTCCTAGGGAAATTTAGCTAGGTAACACACTTGATTTGGGACTATTCGGAACAGATATCAGCGTGGTTTCCCCCACACTTATTGCTTCAAAGCCTCCAGCTCGGAGGGTCAAAGGGACTGTGGACGGTCATGGTGGTAAGTGCTTTAGTGGGAGGCCTATATAACATCGAAGACAAAGGAGAGGCTAGGGACTAGAAGATCGCCAACTTCTATCCACAGAGGCTTCTACAGAATACGATGCGACTTCGAAGAGATTGGCGATAGACGAGGGCGGCAAGCACAAGGAATCATGGGGATGAAGCATCGTGGCACAGCTCGTCTGCATGCGGAATATCGTAAATTTTCTTTTACAATCTGAACGACTCAATCTCGACAAGGGGCTTAAGCATTGACCATACACTTTAATTTAATCGAGTCATCCCCAAAAGTAGTCCGAAGCTGGACAAGATGGAACTGAATTCTCTGCAGTAATTGCTAGGGCTCGGGATCTCATTGGCTCGGAATAAAACTAGTTTCGGAGTTGAAGTCTCGTGCATCGGAGTCGGAATAGCAACATCTCTTACGGTCCTCGACTTCAGGCAGCATTCTAGACTTCACTCTAGCCATAGCTAATATAATTTTGACTATCATAGAGCATGTGTCAGATTCTGCCTGCTCAAGGCAGTGGCTTTGTCTGTCTAGGTCACACGCGGTACAACCTTAGGCATTGACTCATCGCAGGCTCGGCGCGCCTTAACAACGTCTACTAAGGCTTAGTTACCCCAAAGCCACATCGAGACCAGTCCGACTATGCTGTTTTAGTACCCCGACCGATTGCCCTAGACCGTATTCCGGGCCACATCCCACTTTCAAGCAAAGTCAAAGGGCGTCGTCACCCATTTTTCAACAATATCAGGCAGATCTTGACCTCCATTCCTTCTCGAGTCAGAGAGCGGCGTTCCCAATGGCGGCCACGCACTGGGTTAGCGCCTCGTGTTGGCACCCAATTACACGCCCTTCGCTCCTTGGTATACGGCCTACCGCATCATGGGTGGGCCACACCGAGCAATGACTTGCGCTGATGATTCACCAGGATAAGTTGCAGTCTGAACTAAGCATCTGACAATGTAGGATGTTGTCCGATTGCTAAGCCTCGATCATTTCCTCAGACGTCAGGGTGGGTCGTCGTGAATTTTACTCCGTGGGCTTCGGACTAAATCCATCATCACGGAATGGACGAATGCATCAGTATATAAGGACCGTGGAAGCCACCTGGTAGCCTTGCTTCGTATACTTCAGATCTCAACTACCAAAGAACCTTCTAGATCAGTTGTGACTGCTCATACACATCATTTACTGTCCTACTTGACTCTTTATACAACCACTACTACTCCAACTGAACTATACTTCCACCCAGACTGTCGAACAGTACCACCGACAGAACCATCCACTTCTTTCCTAAGAAATTCAGAAGCACATCCAAAGCCATGCCTGAATCAGTCAAATCTACCTCCACCCTCGACGACGCTTCGTCCAGCTACAGCGTCTCCTCCACCGCATCAACCTTGAAAGATCTCAAAGCCACGAGCAAGAAGTGGCTATCTAGCAAAGAGAAGAAGGAGGAGACCAAGTCATCTCCACCCAAGCCTACCTCGCCTAAGCCTGCCAAAGAAAAGAGCCGTGCCCCGTCCACCAACTACACAACTCTCGCTACATACCTGTCATTGAAATGATGGCATATCTGCAGTTGGGTGCTGGGCATACAACATGGATGAGGAGGAAGGAGGATATCAACCATAACGAGGATATGCATGTGCTTTCTATAGACTTTGATTGTTTGCTAGGTTTGTGCTATGATGATGGCGTCGGAGTTGGGTAAAAGCTGCTTTGATGGACTTCTTGTTATACGACTAGGAAAGATCGATGCTTGTGTTATTACAAACCTAATCAGCTGTTTTATCCCTTAATTCCTAATTTAAAATCCTTCATTTACACTTCCAATCATCTAGATTCTAATTTTATCCAATTTTGTATAGATGTAGGGTTCGCACACCCACTAGGCTACTAAGGGCCATTAATTAATCGGGACTAGCGCGTCCGCGGCGCGTCGCACGCGTCGCAAACCAACTCCAATCTATCATTGCATCAATCAGCCCACTCGACAATATCGATTCGGGACGGAGTAGACACTCCATAATACACACTATCATTTCAAATAATTGCAGACTCGATTTGATGACGACGTCGTCCCCGTCCATCCCTCCCTCCTTCGATCCGGCCATCCATCTTCACTCCGAGGGAGACCCTCCCGAACCCCCCTCCGATACCTTCTCCGACGAGCTCGAGGCATTGAATTTCCAACAGGGAGATAATACGCGCAAAGGAATAGTTATTCAGCACCGGTCGTGGAATCTATCTGATGTCTTCCGCAGTGACGAGGATATAAGGCCTGGTAGACTCGACGATCCCGAGTGTTGAGTATATCAACTGATTGAGCTCAGATACTCCGACACGAACTTCCAAGCGGAAGAACATCTACTCTCCTATTCGAACACTCGCCTTATTACCGTCTTCACCACCTACTATCAAAATGCCCCTCATTGCATCCCCCGCTCCCTTCCCGTCGAGCGCTCCGTCGCCAGAGTCGCAGAAGAGAAAGAATGAAGAACAATCGCACAGTGAAGAGCCCAAGCGGCAGAAGATTATGGGCGGGTTCTTGGATGAAGCGGATGATGATGATGATGATGACTGGGACGCTTTCAACGATGCGCAACTAAGGAGCGAGTTTCAGGCGCAGGAGGACATTATTCAACAGCCGCCTGTTGAACTACCTGAAATCCCGAGGCCATCTCAACTGCCAACGGAATCGACTCCGAAGCCAGCATCTACTGCGCCAGAGCTTGATCCCACTCCCGTACCGGAACCGAGCACAATCACGTCGCTTCCCTCGCGAAGGCCATACCGATCAATACAGATAAAAACCTGCTCGGGCAAGACACACCACGTTTCATTGAAGAGACCCGCACCCCGTGTCAGCTACGAAAGACTTGTTGCTGGTCGCTCCGCTACAGCACCCGGAAGGGCTCAGAAGAGCTACTACGGTATCGATATCCACAAGCTTCTCGATGAAGCAGCGAATGAGCCGGAGGCTCCCCCGGCCGAGACACGACCTGCCCCAGTGGTACAGCCGTCTATCGAAGCCCCGGTCCACGACCAGAAGAGCGCAAAGCTAGCTGCAGCCATGTGGACTGAAAAGTACCGCGCACGAAAGTTCACGGAACTGATCGGAGACGAGCGCACACATAGATCTGTTCTGCGGTGGCTGAAAGCTTGGGAACCTATCGTCTTCCCCAACATCGCCAGGGCGAAGGCAAAGAAACCGTTCAACGGCAAAGACGAAGAGGAACGGACGCATCGAAAGGTTCTACTGCTATGCGGCCCGCCAGGTCTAGGAAAGACTACACTAGCACATGTATGTGCTCGACAGGCTGGTTATGAAGTGCTAGAAATCAACGCGAGTGATGATCGAAGCAAGGATGTGGTAAAAGGCAGGATTCGCGATTCCCTGGGCACAGAGAACGTCAAGGGCATGAACGTGGAGGTTGGCGAGGAAAAGGTACGCAAGGCAGGACGGCCTGTTTGTGTCGTCGTCGACGAAGTAGACGGCGTCGTCAGCGGATCTGGAGGCGGTGGTGAGGGTGGTTTCATGAAAGCCTTGATTGATTTGGTCCTACTGGACCAGAAGAATTCGTCAGGCGCTACTGAGCAGACCAAGGGCAGGAAGAAGAAGGGCGACAACTTCCGATTCTTACGGCCGCTGATCATGGTCTGCAACGATGTCTACCATCCTAGTCTACGACCACTGCGTGCGGCCTCGGTTGCAGAGATCATCCATGTCCGCCAAGCACCGTTGGAGAACGTCGTCACACGCATGAAGCGGATTTTCACCGTCGAAGGCATTCCATCCGACAATGATGGCGTCCGACGGCTCTGTGAAGCCTCCTGGGGCCTTGCTCGGCGCAAACAAGGAGGCGTCAAGAGCAGCGGAACAGCAGAGGGCGACATCCGCAGTGTGCTCGTTGCAGCAGAATGGGTGGCGCATAAGCTAAGAAACGAATGTCCATCTACTCTACGACTCACACGAAGCTGGCTGGAGCAAAAGGTTCTCAGCGCCAACAGTAGCGGCAGTGCTTTCTTCAAAGGCCTAAACCGCGGTGGTGTGCGCGATCTCATCGAGCGAGTCTTCACCGAAGGCGCCGGCTTCACAGATGCACCTGTTGGCGTCGACTCCTTCCGCGATCCCTTCTCCAATTCCGAGGACAAAGTACCAGTAGGTGTCGCTGACCTCCGGAAACGCCATGCCATCGAACGACTACGTGAAATGGTCGATGCTAGCGGCGAGCACGACCGCGCCGTGGCAGAGTGCTTTGCATCCTACCCGCTGCAAAGCTACCAAGATGACACCTTCCTCTCCAAACCCAACGCAGCCTACGACTGGCTACACTTCCACGACACCATGTCCTCCAAGGTCTACACCGCACAAGACTGGGAGCTGAGTGCATACCTCAGCCAATCCGTCGTAGCATTCCACCACCTTTTCGCCACGGCACAAGGCAAAGCCAAACCCCGGGAAGTCGACGACGAAGAAGAGGAACACCCATTTTCAGGTCCTCGAGCAGACTTTGCCGCCTACGAAGCTCAGAAACAGAACCGAGCCATCCTCACAGAATTTCAGTCCGCATTCTCAGCCCCCTTATCCCGCCTCTTCCGCTCCACCGACTCCCTAGTCATCGACCTCATCCCGAACCTCGTCCGAATGCTCTCCCCGGACGTGAAACCAGTCGTAGTTCGCGGCAGCGGCGAGCAGCGCAGCGTAGCCAGCGTCCGCAAAGAGAGCGAGCGCACGCTCATCCAAGCCGCCGTCCGCGTAATGGCCGGTCTAGGCGTACGATTCGAGAAAGTGCGCATCGAGAACGCCGGAGCCCACGGAGGATGGGCCTACCGGATGGAACCGTATGCTCCCCATCCTTCCTCTCCCTACAACCCTATATAAACCATACTAACACCTCCACAGCCCCCTCGATAGTCTCATCACATTCTCCAAACCCAAATCCACCCCCACCGCCAGCGGCTCCGCCCCCGTCCGCTACGCGATCCGCCAAGTCCTGGACCAAGAATACCGCAAAGAGAACATCCGCAAGCAATCGGAAACACTAACGACATCCAATATCGGCAAAAAATCCTCCAGCAAGACCGCCGATGGGCAATCCAAGGATGATGGCGATGCGAAGAAGACCGCACACGGGCCGAACGTGAAGCGCGACTTCTTCGGCAGAGTCATCAAGGAGCCCACACCACCGCCGTCAGATGAGTCGCCTGAGACGGCGAAGCAAAATGAGACGTTAAAGGCGGGCAGACGCGTCTGGGTGACGTACCATGATGGGTTTTCGAATGCAGTCAGGAAACCGATTTCGATGGGCGAGTTGTTGGCGGAGTTGTAGGGTGCATTGTGCGCAGAGTGGGTGGGTAATGATTACGATTTGGCATTGTGTATAACTTGATATCCGGTAGCTTATGCTTTAGATGGTAGATACTACTTCTATATTGAATTAAAGCGTTTATTCATTCGAAGAACTTCTATAGTTACAGTTGAATGATAGTTTATAACCAACATATCGATCGATCACATGACCATCTCGATAATGGTCATGACTAAGCAAGCCGCCAAGCCGGCAGAACGAGCGACCGCCTTCCCATGAATTTTTTTTTTAATGATAGAAAAATATCCCCGAGATCGAGACCCATCGCGACATTTGCACTTGCACCAACTCCTCCCAGCATATCGCAACAATGGTGTCTTCGACGGCGCTAACGACGAAGGTGACCTCGGGTTCACCCTACCAGTTGGAGAAGACTCAGGTAAGCCTCCTTTCACCAATTCTCATGCATGTACTGCATATAAATTCCACATCTCCCAATACATACATCTACAGAATATCTCTAAATAATAATACTAATATATTCGAACAGGTCTCCCGTGCCTCCACGGCCCTCCTGAAACACATCGCGACCAAGCAAGACGAGAAAGAAAAGACGGCCACGAAGAAGACCCTTATCGGCGACAACGACGACAGCGACGCGGAAGAAGGCAGCGCTCTGCACAACGAAGCGATCTGGCTGGTCTTGACAACGAAGAAGCACATCGTGGACAAGAACCGTCTGAAGCCAGGCAAGATCCCGATTCCGCACAGCCTGAACGCCTCTCCCTCCCTCAGCATCTGTCTCATCACCGCGGACCCCCAGCGCAGCGTGAAGAACATCGTCACGGACCCGTCGTTCCCTGCACACTTGTCGTCGCGCATCGAGCGGGTAATCGGATACTCGAAGCTGAAGGATCGGTACAAGAGTTTCGAGAGCCGGAGACAACTCCTCGCTGAACACGATGTGTTCCTGGCTGATGATCGGATTATTATGCGGTTGGTGAATACGCTCGGCAAGGTTTTCTATAAGAGTAGTAAGAGGCCGATTCCGGTGCGGATTGCGGAGATTGAGAAGGTCGATGGGAAGAAGGTGAAGAAGGATCCGAAGGTTCGGAATGCTAGGAAGGTGGAGGGTGAGGGGGATAAGGAGAGTGCGTTTGCGACGCCGGCGATTGTGGCTAAGGAGATTGAGAAGGCGTTGAATTGTGCGCCGGTGCATTTGGCGCCTGCTACGACGGCGGCGATTCGTGTTGGGTCGAGTAAGTTCTCGGCTAAGCAGGTGGCGGAGAATGTAGAGGCTGTTGTGAAGGGGTTGACGGAGAAGTTTGTCACCAAGGGGTGGAGGAATATTAAGGCGTTGCATATTAAGGGGGCTAATACGATGGCTATGCCGATTTGGTTGGCTAGTGAGTTGTGGGTTGAGGATGGGGATGTTGTTGAGGAGGAGGAGGAGCAGACTCCTGCTGTTGAGGCGGGTAAGAAGCGCAAGCAGATTGGTGATGCTGAGGAGGAGAAGGTGATTGAGGAGGCGCCGAAGAAGACCAAGAAGGCTAAGGCTAAGGCTGCTCAGGATGATGAGACGCTGTCGTTGGCTGCTAGGAAGGAGAAGCTTCAGAAGCAGAAGGCTAAGGCGTTGGAGGATGGTGCGGTGGCGGTTCCGCCGGCGGCGACTGGTGCTGGTAAGAAGAAGAGAAAGTCGACTTCTTGATTGACAAACTGCTTTTGCTGGGTTTATGTCCGGGCTGTATTGAATAGCAATGGGTGTCTCTTTTGTGTTTTACTCCGGCGGCGCGTGTTCGTTTCTTTCTTCTTGTTCATACATCGGGGCTTAATCAATACCCTTGGTCGAATAAAAGTTATGTATAGACGTGTTGGTGTTCTGATCGTAGTGTCTTGTAGTTCGGGTTCTTACCATGAAGTTCAGACGATGCTTGAACAGGCGTACAACATAATACATAATGGCATTGGTATATCTATCACCTCACCTTCCCACCCACATCATACAAAAGCACAAACATGAACATGAATTAATCACTGCTTCAGCTTCTCCGTCAACTCAGGAACCTTCTCAAACAGATCCCCAACCAGACCAACATCCGCAACCTGGAAGATGGGCGCATCGGGGTCCTTGTTGATCGCAGCGATGACCTTACTATCCTTCATACCCGCCAAGTGCTGGATAGCACCCGAGATACCGGCACACAGGTACAACTGCGGTGCGACGTTCTTACCCGTCTGTCCGACCTGCAGACTGTTATCCGCGAAGCCACTGTCCACAGCAGCACGGGAAGCACCAATGGCAGCGCCCAATGTATCAGCCAGAGGAACGATGACGCGGTCAAACTCCTCCTTGGACTTGAGACCACGACCACCGGAGACGACGCGGCTGGCGGTACCAAGGTCCGGACGCTCAGACTTGGCGAGTTCCTCGGACACCCATTCGGTTTGGGCGGGGGTGTTGGGGTCGACACCCTCGGTGACGGAGGCGCTGCCGCCGGTGGTCTCGACGCCTTGGAAGGAGGTGCCGCGGACGGTGAGGACCTTGATGGGGTCGGTGGACTGGACGGTCAGGATAGCGTTACCGGCGTAGATGGGGCGGACGAAGGCTGTTAAGTTAGCTCGTTAGTATACTGCTGTACATGAATGGTGTGTCTCCGACACCGGAGCAAATTCCCACGCCCGGAATTGGCAAGGTAAAGAAGACATACTATCTTCGCTCTCGATGCCCGTGATATCCGAAACCTGCTGCACATCCAACAGAGCAGCAACACGAGGCAGAAGACTCTTTCCGAACGCCGAGTGGCCAGCCACGACGTGCGTGAATTCTCCCTTCTTGATGTTCTCGACGAGCAACGGGGCGTAGTTCTCGGGGAGGCCCTATACCATAACTCGTCAGCACTTACCCTCCCCATTTACTTTATCCAACAAGGTAAAAAAGCAATTGAAGTACCTTCTCATAAGCCTCATTCTCCACCGCCAACACCTTGTCCAGGCCCTTAATCTGCGCCGCCTCGGCAGCAGAGGTACCCTTCACACCAGCACCCGCCACAAAGGCTGTCACGGGACCACCGAGCTTCTGAGCCGCAGCGATAGCGGACAAGGAGGAGGACTGGAGCTTGCCATCGCGCTGTTCGAGGACGGCGAGGGTGGAGAGAAGGCGGGCAAGCGCGGAGGTGGTGGTGATGCTGGAGCGGGGTGCTGTTGTGGCACGGAGGGCGCGCAAGGCGGAGAGTCTTGCCTGCGGAAGGAGCATGATTGTATTGTATTCTGTGTATATATCTGTCTCTTAATCTGGGGGTGAGGGGGAGGATGGTGGTGGTCAAGAGGGGAGAGGAGTCATTTGAAGGCGGAGAGGAAGAAGAAGCAGAACTAAGGTTATCGTCGGATTTCCCGCCAAGCTTGTGTCGCCGATCCGTCGGAGTCTTCGGCTTAGCGTCTGCCTCGGTGCGATGCAGGCGCGGATATGCTCGGTTGGTGATGGAGATGTTGTTTTGGATTGTGCTTTTACGTCATGGGTGGTTTTACATGGGATTTATTGAGATGGTATGTTGTGATCGGGGTTCGAGGGTTTATGCAGTGGTTGGTGGTTCGGCGATGGTACAAGTCCAAGTAGTAGAAGGGGACTAGTTATAGTGGGAAGTAATTATTCACATGTCAATCCTCTCTACCAACTACAATATAACCGGGGGTGATATAGGCTATTAAGCACGTCTTATTGATTGTCAGTGACTCTAACTACTTCTCAGACGAGTATATACTTGTAAGGAGATGGTCGTACAACGCCGCCAGTTGACGAAGTGGCATTCGGCGATCGAGAAATAATGCCGAGGGTTCAATATCGATGGTCTACACATTGAGTCGACAACACAACTAATCTTAAAGAACCCCCATGCCTTCTCTCATCATCTTACTACATAGAAAGATAACCTTATAATGTTATATGGCCATTAGGCCGGTTTTCTCACTGTTTGACCATTCAGCATTGACATCAAACCATATCGGCTTTATGGGGAAATCCCGGCTAGAGCAGATCTGGATGCACCAACTGAAAGGTAGCAAATTTCGATCAGTCCCTGCATTTTCAGCTGGACAGTTCCTATCTCATCTATCTTATCGTCGTTCTCTGATCCCTTGTGGTGGTCAACAATGCATGAAACACCGCCGAGCTTGAAGAGAGAACTACAAGCTTGTTAACAAGGACTGCACAGACCGTCATGGAGACGGATGGTGGAATCTGGACGTCACTTCTTCACTGACTGTCGGCTTCTCTCTCACATAAAAGTAAGTGAGCATCCAATGCAACAATCGCCAAAGAAGGAGCGGGTTGAAAGCATCGGTGAGAGCACCGACTTCGCGACAAGGGCAGAGGGAATCTTCGTTGAGTTGGCACCGGCGATGTGCATTGTGTACTGCATGAAAAGAATGCTGATATTATTGAAGTACGTAGAGTAGAGATGATTCTGTCTCTTCAGTGAGCGTATCCAGTGCGAATAGCTAGGCCATGTGGGGATAGACAATGCTATGACTAGATCACGTTCACACGGAGTGATTTGCCTACCGATTAGAGTGAAATGCTGCAATACATGTCTCTGCTGGGTCAGTTGTTCGCCTTTACAGTCTGAGCCAAAGACAGTCACAATTTTGAGTGGCCGTATTGGCCAGTGGAGCCGATATACCCAGTTATAGAGTAAACTTTGGACTGTGAATAGCATGGCAAAACCGTCAGTCGCTTCCTGCCTGAACAGTGTACAGAGCAATGCTATTGGTCCGGCTGGGATAATCTCAAACAGCGATAGGCTGCTCACTTTCGAAAGAATGGAAAGGTTCTGGGCGTTGTCGTCGGCAAAAGTACTGGTCTTCTCCCTTGCCTTGCCACTGACTTCGATGCGTCCCCGGTTCAAACTTACTTTGCGATCCAGCCCTCGCATCTGCCTTCATACCACGATAGTCCCTCTGCAAGCATGGGCTGCTCATGCAATCGCGTTCCGGATCAAATCCCCACGCCAGTGAAGAGGTTGGTATTGCCACATCTGCCTCGCTTCCAGGCCGCAGGCTTCCGGGTATTATCCGTTCCAAGGCACAGTCGTCTCTTGCATCGGAGGAAATAAAGACTTGCATATTGCATCATAACACAGGATCTGCACGGGGTCGAAGGCGAGGGATATGAGTCATCGAGCCATCATTGTCGACTTTGATTCACGTTGTGCCATTGTTCGCTAGACTTGATGGTCAAAATGTCCGATAAAGTCTCTGCTCAAGTCAGCACAAGAGATTCTTTATTCACTCGGCTACTCTCATGTCTCCCATTAGAACAATCGCCAAGCCACCTGTGAAAGACAACCAAGTACCCAGCAGCATGGCAAACTTAATTTCTCACGGGCCAAGTTCCGGATAGGTTCCGCGATAGGCGGGTTGTTCAAGAGTCCCTTGCATGTACCCATGGACGCGAACATCGTGGGACTGCCAAGGGTTCCAGAATCCCACATGCTGTATAGTAACGACTTTGTATTGAAGGCCGCCATTGTTCATTTGTGGTTGCTTTGTGTTGCAACTGTACAGCCAAGATAGTGCAATCGAGGCCTAGAATTCAAGGCGACAAGGCAATGAGCCAGTCAGGCTGTCGCAAGGATGTGTGCATGTTGTTTGCTTCTAAATTCATGACCTGTAAACAGCGGATAAAGAAACAACAGAGCCTGCTCTGACACCGACACATCATTAGTTAACAAAGACATGAGACGTCAGTCATTGAGTCACTCAAGCATGCGATTGGAGAAGGCTCATTAGTGTGAATCCGGCCAATCCCGCAACGGATGCAACTATTGGCCTAACTGCTGATTGTTAGTAACAGTCGACAGTCCCAACCACTCCACAGCGACATTCAGAAGATAACGAACAAGCCTCGCATCTAGTTTAACGTTGTGGGTATCAACCGCTCAGCCCGAGCCATCCGTCCAGGAGAGGCTCGGAAACCCCTATTTGCACTTAAGGGGTAGTAGTAGTAGTAGTAGTTGCAAGTATCGAACCCAATCTTGAGTCAATGATTCTCCAGATGGCTGCCGATGTTCATTAATTAGGCACCGTGCGTGACGTCTGACCGGTGAACAGGATGCAGCGATATTCTTTGCTCCAAGCTAACTATTCAATTCGGCTGGACGGGGCGGAAACCAGACAATTGCTCCAACTGTCTCCGTCGGATTAAATCTAGTGGAATGGCGGAGAAAGTAACGGAACTTGGGATGGCTCAGGTACAGCTGAACAATGATAGGACAAAGACATCGGTGCCTGAAACAGTTCCGGCTTTAGTTGCTTGCTGTTACTCCGTTCAGCGCGCATCCCATAGACGTCTGCATTCCCGACGTCAAGTGACTAATCGGAAGAAAGAGACTCTCAAGTCGGCGAATCATTGGTAGAACACACCAATACAGCATCATCTCTGGTACCACATTTTGGACGGGGACACGTCAATAGCTGATGCGTTGGGAGATTAGTTCGATATAAGAATTCAATAGTCGAATGTCAATATGGCGGGTGGGAGGAGACTATTAGTCCACAGGAGGAGACACGGGCGAGGCGGATGCGTGGAAGTAAGTTGTGAGCTGTCGTCGAGATACCGAGTTGGGCGTAGTGACTGGGCTTCACCCGTGGACTTGTCCATTCAAGAACGTTCCAACTCTCCGGACTGGGCTCAGGAAGAACGATCAATCATGTAAGGTCCAAAAGCTTCTTGTCCCCACTATAGGCCGCCAAATAACTCTGGTGATTGTTTATCGAGCAGTTGAACATGCAGAAAGGCACCGCACCACCCACTCCACCTAATTTGATTGAGCGCTCCGATCCCCTCCTCGGTTCACCCATCCAGAATGCGGAGAAGCAGCGATGACTACTATCAGATTGGTTGAAGTGATAGGCATATCCGATAGATAGGCTTCTTCGCAGGCACTTAGCATCAACTGAGTACGTAAACGGCGGATACAAGCCGCGCAAGCAAACCAGCAGCCAGTAACTACCGCGCTTCTCCCTTTTGTTGTGAGCTCCGTGTTAACCGGTGCTAATGAGTCGGTCTTGGCCGCATTGGGGGTTGGAGTCTCCAGTTGCCAAGCTTTTGGACCAGGACGCCATCGGACGAGATTCACTTTTTTTCGCGCTGTGTCTCTTTTCACTTTATGCGGCGATAAGCATGGATGGGATGGGGCGGATCCATCACTGGCTTAATACGGAGTAGTTGGAGTGGTTAGTGTAGATTTAGTTGGTTGGTCAGTATGGAGTACTAGTTAGTAAGTAGACACCGTCACCGCTCATACGGTATGATTACCACTTGGTATCTACCGGTGCAGTCTCAGTCAGGGGTCCAATAGTAATCTATCGCAAAAGGGTCCGTCAGACTCCAGAACCCCTTGGTTGCGGGCGCAATGACCAGGGAGAAGACTTGGCCCGGGGGCTGAGGGGCTGAAAGCCTGAAAGGACCTTTGGAAAGAGGCTGGTGGTGTCAATCCAGGAGATCCTCGCCTGCTTTCTTGGTCTCATAGGCTGCTCTCTCGTATTACTGTTTGGTGCCTGAGGTGCCTCAACGCAAAGGAATCCATGTAAATAGGGATATCCCCTCCACAACCAATTAGCTGGACGCTAGGTTTAATGACAGTCTTGGCCAGGTAGGACTTGTACAATAGCCGGGCGACAACAACAATGCTGTTTGGTTGGGCGCAACACCGAAACTCACGACAACACCGCAGCATACCCGACCAGTCTGTTGGCGAAATTCTGATTAATACCAAGCAAACTCAGACGAAGAATATGCGATGGCACTTATCACTGGCGTGGAGCGAAAACGGCAAGGTTGATGGTTACTCTATCGCAACGCCGATGGAAAAAAAAGACCTGGGAGTTTGAAGACACTAGATTCCGTAGAGGCCGTAGTACAGGCTGACACGACTCAGCATCGCCTGCAAGGGCCAGATATCATTAAAGGAGGCCAAATTGGACCAAACAACGAGTGTCGCACTTGAACAGATAACCAACACAGTTATCATGGGATCTGCGTGTCAAGCTAACGACCAGTCAAACAGTGGTGAAGAGAATACCGGTAGGGCGGGGATAGATGTTCGAAATCCTCCGATGACTCTCGGCAGATATCTATGTGGGATCTTTGGCGCCTGAGCTACACTGCTACCAACGCCGAACCCATCAAAGATGATTTAAACATGTGTCAAGTCGCGAAGAATACAAGAGGGGCGCTACCAATGAGATTCAGATGAAAGATTCCGCGATTGTAGCATATAATACCAATAGACACCTGACCATGTCAGGTAGCGTCGCCTTGTCGGGGGTACCTTGCCACGTCTACTACATATGCAGGAAGATATCCGTTTGGACCAGGTGTACTCTGTACCTGCGTATGTACCCGTGGTCGGACAACCAATGAACACAAGGCTGCGAGATACCGCATCGTTGTTGGTAGTAGTGGTATTGTGTAGATAGACAGTTGTTCCAGGATGCTATGTAAATGAGACGTGTAGTGTATTGGATAGCGCTCGGCTTCCTCTTTCCTCAAGAGGCGGTAATGTCTCTAATTAAAACCAATAGCCAATAATATACCAACAACAAACTACTTACTACTTAAGACTAAGTACTGATCAAGTCAACGGCATCGTGAAAACATCTCTGAAAGATTCCTTGTATTGAAATGACAACATGTGGGATGAGCAACCAGTCCTGACGAAGCCAGGGTCTCAGGTAGTCATTCTGCAAGTTGAGATTAACGTCTGCGTGCTCCGCAACGGGCTCTAGTCGGTGGAAACCAGGCCGTAAGAGAAGTCACCTGTTCCAGGCCAGATCGTAGGAAGGGAAGTGAGAGACACTCTTAATATTGTTCTGCATGATGTGCACTGTCTATTACTACTATAAAAAGTGGGCACCAGGCCGAGATAAATCATTTGTAAGTATATCGTCGCAGGCGGGGTATATGATGAGAACATTGACGACGCAGCAACGGATAGAACAATATGATCATAAATTAGGCAGCCACTTCGCCTAATTGCTCGAACATGAGGGGAATCGGTGACATCAGAATCAGATGGAGGGAATTCCCGCACTCCGCCGGGGAGATGTGTCAGCCAGATTGATGGATTGATTGATTGATGAATTGGCCCCGTTCCATTCAACCAACAAAGGTGTACTTATGGAACACTTGATGAGGGAAGTACAAAGTAGGCTGGGTCATGGTTTCGGGGCTGAAAATATCTTTACCGCCCGTCAAACCCGACTGGAACAGTGAGCAGACTCAGTCGAGGACTACTGGTAGAAAGTAAGTAGGTGAGTGCTAAACTGCTAATATTACTTACAGTACTCCCCCTACTGCAGGCCAACATTGAGATCCGACATGAGACATTCCCTGGTAGGCCAAATTGTAGCAATGGTTCGGCAGCACAGGACCCGATGATTGGTGTACCTGACCGGGGAGAAGGTTTGATGGCCCACCGGCTGGTGCCCGAGAGCCGGTTATGAGTGGCCAGCGAGACACAGTAATTTCGGTAAACGCCAAACTCACTTTCAGGAACAGGAAGGCCCCAAAACACAAAAAAAGAAAGAGAAACCAGCAGAAGATGAAAAAAACGTAAGGGTTTCAAAGGGCAAAATCACCGCCGTGGCCCAGAAAAGCCCCAAGGCTGCTGCTGGCTTGCTGGCCCAGTGTTCCAGAGCCCAGGCGGTTCCTGTCTATTCTATCCACTTGTCTCCACTCACAGCTGCAATTCTCAGCGGTTCTCACGACTCACGTTGCGCCGTCCATGTTGACTTTTTTTATTTTAACCCCGGTGGTTTCTTGGCCTTCTTTCTCCAGTGCCGCGCCCCCCCTGTCCATCGCCTGACCATCACAACGGTAGGGAGAAGAAAAAACGGGTCTGAGATCTTTTTGTCAGTGATCTCTCTCTCTTTCTTACTACAGAAGTATTCTCGCCCCTTTTCAAAACCGTGCCCGTAGATAGATTCTTTCATACCCTTTCCCGCGCTCTCGTCCCATAATAGTAGTACTCCATACCCGTTCGTCCCTGATTTTCTCATCGGGAGTAGAGTTACCGTCCTGCGACAATCATTAATGTTTTCTATACTCCGTAGCTTGACACAAAAATAGGGATTAATATTGCCCATCCCCGAAAGGAGAAGAGGACAATACCGCGCAGATACTACAGATACGGACAACTGTTACAAGCTAATTTCCAACGCTAAAAGGCTAACAGCCCACACTAACTCAACCCGATGTCTTGAGCCTTCGGGCTGTGGGCCCCCCTGATGATTTATTATGATTATTTTTGTTATTTTATTAGTATTCCCATTATTTCCCTGCCTGTGAATTTTATTCTTTTTTGGTTAACCATCCACTCATTCGGCCCAAGTGCCACGCTCTCTCTCTTCCTCTCACTTACTTTCTCACACTCTCTTTCTTGGTTCCTTTGGTTCACCCCCTGGAAAAAAAAGGTCAGCGCACGCCTTCCTTGTCCCTCCTGCCCACATCCACACTAAGCTAGTCTATCGCCTCTTGCCCACTCAATCCCTCCCCCCCCCCCCTGGTCTACGGCGCGAACTAAACCTTTACTTACTCCTTCATCTCCCTCCCGATTTCCCTTTTCTCCCTCGAGTTCCCCCTCCACATTTTCTTGCCTCCCTTCCCCCCCAGAGCGTTTCATCTTCGGCCCTTCGCCTGCTATCCTTCGCGAGATTTCCTATCCGACCTGAGAGAACTAGCTTCTCTCTCGTACGCTCTTTTGGGAACCTGTTTCTCTCTTCTCTTTCACTCTTTAACTCTCATACTCTATTCTAGGCAACTTGCTTTGTCTCTGCCAGACTTTCAGCAACCCCTGCCCCACGAGGACTTCGATTCGTGTACAGATTTTTTGCAAGAAGCGCGCGACTGGCTTACTGTGAATTTGGTATGTCTCCTATCATGTGCACCTCCGCGAAACACCCGGGATCACTTAGCACATACAATAGCAGTGCAGCTCTTCGTTCTCTTGCATTACGCAGTGAAGAAAGCAAGCACATACATGGCTAGTGTCTAGTATCGAACAGACCGGCTTGTGGTCAATGGAGGTTGAGCGCATGCTAATATGGGATCCCGTGGTTTATATAGATTAGATCCACAATCTGACGCAACACTGAACAGCTTGCGACCCCGTGCGAATTAGATTACCGACACGATGAAGTTCAATACTGTCGCCCTCACCCTGGCTACCGCCGGTACCCTGGTGTCCGCTCAGCACCACCACCAGCACCGCCATCACCACAAGCGCTCCCCCGACGCCGAGGTCGTCACGGTGCCCGGTCCTACCGTCACCACCTTCGTTCTCGACGGCAAGGTCATTACCTATGAGGAGGCCTGCGCTGGTATCCGCAAGGGAACTTTGAAGTTCTCTGGCAACGTGCCTGCGGATGTTTGCCAGTCCTCTTCTTCTACTGTGGCTTCGAGCACCACCAGCCCGACTCCCACGGCTTCCGTCCAGGCTGCTGCTGAGTTCATCGAGGTCGCCGTCCAGCACTCGTCGAGCTCCAGCTCCAGCTCCAGCAGCACCAAGACCAGCAGCACCAAGACCAGCAGCACCAAGACCAGCAGCTCGTACGCCGCTGCCTCCTCCAGCTCCTCCGCCAGCAGCTCTAGCAGCAGCTCCTCCTCTGCCACCGGTGTGGACAAGGAGTTCCCTGATGGCGAGCTTGACTGCGACACCTTCCCCTCTGAATACGGTGCCGTTGCCCTCGACTACCTTGGCCTTGGCGGTTGGTCTGGTATCCAGTACGTGACCATCGTCGACGACATTGTCGACACCATCGTTACCGGTGTCACCGGCGATTCCTGCATTTCCGGAGCCATGTGCTCCTATGCCTGCCCTGCCGGATACCAGAAGTCCCAGTGGCCCAGTGCCCAGGGTTCTACCGGCCAGTCCGTTGGTGGTATTGAGTGCAAGAACGGCAAGCTCCACCTTACCAACAAGTCTCTGTCCAAGAAGCTTTGCATTGAGGGTGTCGGAGGTGTCCACGTGAAGAACACCATGAGCGAGGAGGTCGCTGTTTGCCGTACCGACTACCCTGGTAAGAATTGAACTTCCCTTCCGACATGTGGGTCAAAACAAAGGCATTAATCATGTATACAGGTACCGAATCCGAGACCATCCCTCTCGCTGTCTCTGCCAACAGCGAGCTCCACCCCCTGACTTGCCCCAACGGCGCCACCTACTACAAGTGGGAGAACGAGACCACTTCCGCTCAGTACTACGTTAACCCCAAGGGTGTTTCCACCGAGACTGGTTGCCAGTGGGGTAACGGCAGCTCTCCTATCGGCAACTGGGCTCCTATCAACCTTGGTGTCGGTTACAGCGATGGCAAGTGGCTTTCTCTGTTCCAGAACAGCCCTACCACCACCACCAAGCTTGACTTCAACGTGAAGATCCAGGGTGACAACCTCAGCGGCTCTTGCAAGTATGAGGATGGTACCTTCTACTCCGAGTCTGGCTCCAACGACTCCGGTTGCACTGTAAGTGACCTGCATTCATTCCCTCTCTTTTTTGCTGGGATCTTTTGCTGATCATCATTCACCTACAGGTTGAGGTTCTCTCCGGCTCCGCCACCTATGTCTTCTACTAAGCTAGTCGAGGGCCCGACACCCACCCGCCGTGGCCGTACGATTCGGTTCGCATCCGCTAATTTGAATCGAACCCCGTCGGCTCGCAAATAGAAGAACTTTCATGCCTCTGTTCATTCTGTTCATGATTTTCTGTCCAGTGCGGTTGCTTTCTTCTCTGTATCTTACTATATTGTCCTATGTGGCTTGGAAAATATAGCACCTGTCACATATGTCGCGTCGCCATTCCCTTGATGGCGACGATTGTGGTTAGACCTTACCTTCTCTACTGCAAAGTAACACTGATTTCCGTTTTTCTAGCCGCACTTTTCTACCTTATTCCCCCCCGTGAGCAGCCAGATTTGCTCGTCATGTTATAAACTAGCAATGCCTTGTATAGTAGTTTTGTTTATGTCATGATTGAAGATGGATTTATCTCTTTCTGTACCGATCTGATACCATCTGGGTGCATGGACGCCGTATTTGTGACCGCGTAAGGCGACAACTAGCTTTTGTAAGAAGGGCGGCCCTACGAAACCTGGCGGGTCCCACCCCCAGCCTCCTGAGTTTAAGTGAAAGCAGGTGTGTCAGGGCTGGCATGTAGATTATCCTTCGATAGAGTGCTCGGGAGGCGGTGGAGGTGCATTCCAGGGCGGCATCCACCTGCGTCATGCACGGTCTGATGTGTCCATCTATCTATCAGATATCGGTGACCTTGGAATGTGCATAAGTGGAGCCCCCCGATCGGTCGGTGAGTTCTTCAGGGTTCTGTCACCGGTGATGTGTGGCATGTCAGAAGTGGGCTGGGGTTTGGCATTTCAGGTCCGTAATATCAATAATTAGTATTCATCATGGTTCTTTGAAGTTCTATAGTGGGTTAAGCTGTTTCGTTCGCCACTTAAGTAGTCATTGTCCTCATTTCCTGACTAATGGATTGTATCATTAATGTTACATTGTAATGTGAGATTTGAGTAACAGAGACCAGCTGTTGTTATGGTGGATTGGGGGCGCAATTGCGACTGTTTGTTCGGGGAAGGGTACTACTGCTACTGCTGCTACTAAGTATATACTTACCGCAATGAGGGGTGATGATGCCATGGAACCGGCGATTGGACCACACGTTGTGACTTCTATCACACCATAAAGAGGGTTCATCTTGCCGGGTGTATTTTCCGGGCCCGTACCTGGCTCGATGATGAGACCATTTACCAAGTTCGAGCCTGCGTAGGTAGTATTCTGGTGGATGCCATCAGGGGCAGTTGAAGTCATCCACCCTGTTGAGGACTGTTCACGTCGCACGCACTAGTCCAGATGGGGATAGCGAGTCACGATCTGTACGAAATCCCTGCAACGGGCACATGGCTTTACTATTTTGGGTAAGGCCTCGACTGGTCATTGGCTGAGGCTGGGTGTCCAACACCACGTGATCAGGCGCGCCATCACGGGGCCCGAACCAGAAAACGCGGAGCACATGACTCCTAGACGCGGAGACGCGCCTCGTTCCTGCCTGGGGTGTCGAGGGTTGTGTATACCGAGATTATAGACTAGCCACCTCTCCTCCCTCCGATAGACACGCAGGGGAGTGCTGGAACCCAGGGAGCCGCCAGGGTTGATTTACCTTTTTTTCCCACACCTGTAAGCAACCGAAGTCTGGCATATTTTGGCAAACTTCCCTTCCACCCAAGTCAGCAGTGCATTGCATAGTTTCGGACGGTCCAAGTTGCGAGGCTGCGCGAGCTTAGTGGTGGAGCTCTCGACCCTCGTCGGCGCCTATCGAACGCGTCTCGGGTTGTAAGCGTGCATTTCCGCGCTGGACGAGACGCTCCGTTCCGGCAGGCATTCCACCACACACCATCCTTTCACCCTTTTCTTCAATGTTTCTCGATTTTTGCCTGTTCGTACCCAGTTTCGTACTTCCCCAACCTCCTGGCCCTCGTCTTGGGGGGTGAAGCCTCAAAGTTCCTTCCCTTTGTCATCCTTGACACGCTTCATCTTGTCTTTCTCTCTTTCTCTCTTTCCTTCGGGACCCCGAGTCTCGTGAATTGACTCCTACCCCATAGAATTAGACATTCCTCCCCCAACCTTTTCTTCCTCGACGCGACGAAAGCCTCAATTGATCTTTTTAAATCCTCGTCCACCCCTCCTGCCGTTGTTTGAGTGGTATACGAGCGTGTCCGGGTCGTGGTTCACGACCAGACGGCCTTAAACTTCAACTTAATAACATCATGGAGTCTTCGCCTCCAAGGAGCAGTTTGGCTGCTCCGGTGGCAGGTGTGAAGCGTCCCGCGGCCCTGTTGCCTGCCTTTGAGCCATTGAGCTCTTCTCCCTCACTTCCTCGTCCACAGAAGCGTGTAGCACGCGACAATCATGGCATTGTCTCGACTTACCCTACGCCGGTGCCGACCTCGTCGACCCATATCTTGTCCTCCTCCCCCCCGAGAATGGCCCTGCCGCGAACGGCCTCACGGCGTACGTTTACTTCGTCCAGCTCCGAACGAACCCCTCTGTCTGCTGTCCCTACCATAACGCTTCCCGAGAGCGGGGAGCCCGTCCTGATGGGAAGGTCCAGTGCCTCGTGCCATCACCAGCTCGCGGCCAACCGTATGATATCGAGGGTGCATGTCAAGGCTACTTATAAGCCCGCAGCTAATCCCTTTGACCCTGATAGAGTGGAGATCATGTGCATGGGATGGAATGGAATTAAGTTGCATTGTCAGGGGAAAACATATGACTTGGCCAAGGGAAAGACGTTTACTTCGGATATCAAGGATGCTGACATCATGATCGATGTTCATGACGCCCGCGTGCTGGTCCAATGGCCTCAAAGTGACCGAAAAGATTATGCCTCGACGGATTCTGAGCAGACATGGGAGGATACTACACCCAAACGTAAAGCACAGTCCCGTCGGAGTATTCACGAAAGCCCCAATGTGGAACGTCAGCGCTTGGCGTCTCCCGTCTCGCCGTCCCCTGCGGTCAAGTCTCTGGTGCCCCCATCGTCACCCATATATACCCCGACACGCTCGCGGAATTCCGTGGTCGTATACGAAGACGAGGCTTCACCTAGCCGTCGCAACAGCACTGCTGATGCAGATCAGAAGTCGTCGTCCATCGCTAGTGACATTCTGCAGAGCTCGCAGTCCAGCGAGTTGAGTGAGCTGAGCAAGCAAGATGACTTCTCGGACCATGATGAAGAAAATGACCCCATTGTTCATTCCTTTGGACCATTTGGCGACAATCTACTCCCTCGGATGGCCTCATTCACTGCAGATGAGTCACCACTCCGTCCTGCACGACCCCGCAACCAGGTTGTCCAGCCTACCAAGTCCCCGGGACAACCCTCCAAGACCGTTGAGTCGACGGAGAGCACAGTAACCAAGCTGGAGCCGTTGAGCGAGAGCTTTGAACGGGTTCAGAACCATGCCGCCAACCAATTGGCGTTCTCTCGGCTCTCCTCCACGCCATTTTCGACAATCTTGAACAATCTCCCACCGTCCTTGTGGAGACGGGACGGCCATCACAAAGAGGGTCCCACGAAAGAAGAGATCCGTGCCATCCTGGACACGACCAAGTGCATTGGAAAGGTGGCACGGGAGGGAAAGGATGCCGCAGGAAAGCCTCTGGAAGCCGAGTACTATTACATTCCTGACTTTGACGAGGACGATATGCGACGCGAGGCGGTTGTGCATGATCTCAGGAAGCCGGGCCTCCGCAACTGCCGCAAGCAGCACAAGGTACGTTTATCCCCACTTAAACAGTAACATATAGCTGACCTTCGCAGCAATACTTCTGGCGCAAACCCAAATAAACAATAAAAAGTCATTCGATCCCTGCTAATATCTTGACACGACCTTCTTGAATTCTGAGTACATATTTGCAACGTTCCCCTTTTCTTTCTTTCTTTCTTTCTTTCTATCTTTCTTCAAGGACTCGCATAGCGTGGCGTGGGCATACCCTGTCGAATTTTTTTGTTGCTGTATGAAGGTGTATGATGATGTGGATTTCTTTCCTTTGTTGCGTTCTGTTAACGGTCCCCCAAGCCAGATGTATTGTTTTGTCCACGTGCGATGTCTACTGTGTTTCCTTTTGTGGCAGCATTGACCATTACGAGTCAGGGTCTCTGTCCATGCCTCATGGTGTAGACCTTGCTATTTCTGTGGGCGCTCAAGACCTACCCGTGTCTTGTGTGACGTCCGTCAACGAATCCGCGTCTGAAAATTTCCTTCAATATTGTCTCCCAGTGCGCTGTTGGCAAGATGCCCATCAGCCCTGGACCCTCAACCAACCCAACCCAACCCTCATGACCTGTATGTTATCACAGTTTCTTAGGGAAACAAAAGCGTTTTAGTTATGTTCAGATGCAAGCCTCTTACATCGTTCACAGTAGATTCGAAGCCAGGAACATGGGACGATCATTGGTTTCCACCGCAGCTGGCATCACGTGCCTGCGCCATAGATGATGTCCCAATGACTTCAGGTCCAAGCACAACACCACCATCAACTATCTGGCCGCGTCGTGCAGTAGCACTGTCCAGGCTTCGTTCCTGTCCAATCCTAGCCGGATCTGGGTTATTCTTGGCCACGGTTTAGACGTCAGCCCACATCGTATCGCCACGATCCCATCCGAGATACACGGGATGCTATCTGCTGGAAGGAGGCAGGCAGGCATATTAAGCCAGTAGACCCGTATCCATCCCCAACTACTCCATTCATCCTCCTTTGCCCCTTGCTTTCCCGAAACATATGGTCCTTAAGGTACCTTGACCTCGACTACATCGCTAGGTAGCATACTATACCAGTCTACAACCTACCTATATCTTTCTACTTACCTACCTACCTACCTACCTACAACACACCCTCAGTCTGATCCAATTCAATCCAATCCAATACACCCTCCCTCAAAACCAAACCACTCATCAACATCCAACATGTCCCCAAACCCACGAATCATCCCTACCACCGAACCAACCACCCTCCCCCGCACTCGTCAACACCAAGCAGACGACGCAGGCGCAGACGTACCACTGCACACGCAAAGCAGTCCCGAAAGAGAGCAAGAAGATCCCAGCAGTCGCATCCTAGGCAGGAGTATCAAGCCGCCCGTGGTACGGCATTATAGTTGGAGTGAGGAGGATCGGAAGCATGCGTTGCAGGCGCGGTTGTTGGAGACGGAGGGGAGGGAGATGGGGTTTTCGGAGGTGAGGGGTCATGATGGTGGTGAGATGGGGGATGAGTAGGATGTTTCTGTGTGAAGTAGGGAGATGGAATTTGATGGTAATTTATGGTTGAAGGTAGGAATGGATGGGAATTTGAACGAGAATGTGGTGGTTTGTGGTTAATGTCTGATGTGAATGTGAGGTTTATGGGGTTATTCCGTCAGAGTGAATTCTGTTAGGGAGATGGGATCAGTATCATAAATTTGATGGCGGTGCCAACAAGAAGAAGTAATTATTTCTTGAAACAAAAGTATTTGACTCTATCGCAGAGAGTAAGTAGTACTATTGGGGTAATGACGAACTCCGCCTTCGGCCCACTTCTTCTTCACTTTCCCAGCTGCGCTTCACTTCAACTTCCGTCAGCCACTTCCAAGGCTTGCCTCCCCCTCTCTCCACCTCCCCTTGACGCCCGAGACACCTTGCGCGTCACTTGTCTCCTGCCCGCTTCACCAATGTGGCGTTCAAGTCACTCATGCGCTTTCCTTTCCCACTCTTTGAAAGGTTCCCCGGACAGTTGAGATCAACCCACGCGCTGATTGCTGCTGCTGCTGCACCACCACCGCACACCGCGGCAAGCAATGGATCGTCAGAGGAAGCGTATGTCCAATCCCACTCCACGCCACATGTCACCAAATTTCCCCCAACTTGGGTTCGCTAACTTATTTCTTCCGTCTACAGGGGATCTCCGCCTCCAAAATGAGAGAGTATGGGCCGGCGAGAGTGGTAAAGAAAAAACCTCCCCCCCCCTCCTCATCAATTCAACCCACTACGCCGATACATGAACTTGATCCGGCATCGATACCACATGAAGTTATTGTAACTCACTAACTAACTAACTGATCGCTTGATGCAACAGATGTCTTCCCGGTCAGCAAATCCCTCGATTCAGCCTTGAAAAAGAACACCGCTTTCATCAAGCGCCTCCGCACCGGAATCAACGCCGCTGCCCAACAAACCTTCCTAACCGATATCCGCACCCTCTCGCTGCACAAATACCTGTCGGAAATCATCTCCGCCTGCTACGAAGGTCTCTGCAAGCTCAAATCGCCCGGCGAAATTGCTACAGGTGTCGAGATCACTAGTGCCTTGCACCAGCGCTTCGGACCCGCCGAATTCACCCGCCAGATCGGATGGCTGCTAGGACGGGGCCTGAGTACCCCGGATAGAGGACAGCTGAAGGCGCTCAGCCAGGAGTTGCGCGAGCGCGAGGAAAAGGAACGGTTGTCTCGCCATCGGGTGTTGTTGAGGGTTGTTACGGAGTTGTGGCTGGTGGGGGTGTTGAAGACACTGGATGATATTGAGAAGCCGGATGATGTGGGCGCGAAGGGCAAGGATGGAGTTGTTGGTATTGGCGGAAAAGCGACGGATGGGCCGGTGAGAAGGGCGCCGCCGTCTGCTGGTAAGGATGGTGAGAGGGAGCCCGAGCCGTTTCCTTTGGAGGTGTTGAAGGACCTGCTTGGACATGATCGCGACCATTCAAATTTGCCACTGGCTGTGCTGTTTGTCAAGAGCTTTAGCTGGGATGTGCTGGGCGTGAAGATGCTCGAGGAGGGTAGGAAGACTGTCGAGGCTGATGGCGCTACAACTACTGTTAATGGCGATGTGGAGGCGGATGCAACAGCCCCGGAGGGTGATGACCCGCCGCTCACTTCGGAGAAGACTCAGCTTCGGTTCAAGCATATCCTGAATCGGTACCTGGAGGATGTCAAGACACATGTTGTTCGCGATCAGAGAGCGTTGGCCGCCCAGAGCCGTCGCAATGCCGAAGTATACGTGAAGAGTGGCGAAATCTTCGAAGACCGCCAGGCCAACTTTGAGAAGCAGACGAAGTCGCTGGAGAAACTGGTTACCAACACTCAGGTCCTGTGTGAGGTTCTGGGCGTGGAAATGCCAGCTTTGGCCGAGAAGGAGGCCGCTGATGCTGGAGCGGGCGGTGGTATCGGCCTGGTGAAGGCTAGCGAGTACTTGCGTGGCCAAGGAGAGGGCGCGGGTATCTGGGAAGACGAAGAGGAACGGCGCTTCTACGAGAATCTGGTTGATCTTAAGGGTAAAGTGCCGGCGGTACTCTTGGAGGATGGCAAGAAGAAGAAGGCGGAGGATGAGGCCGGAAAGAAGAAGGAAGAAGACGGCACAGATACGGAGAAGACCGAAGCTGGTCAAGCGCAGTCAGCCGAGGAGAAGGCTGCTGCAGATGCCGATGACCAGTCTACTGCTATCGCAAGCAAGACTGTCGGCGCCCAGGTGGATGCGCTTCTGGCTAAGCTGCCCGATCTGCAGACCAAGGACCAGGTTGACCAGCTGGCGCTAGACTTCTGCTTCCTCAACTCAAAGGCGTCTCGGAACAGGCTCATCAAGGCAGTTTCCGATGTCCCCAAGGGCCGCGTCGATCTTCTTCCCTTGTACTCTCGTCTTGTTGCAACCCTAGGACAGTACATGCCTGATATTCCCCAGGGAATCACCAACTATCTGGACGAGGAGTTTCGAAGCCTCCAGCGCCGGAAGTCAAAGGAGTTCCTAGGCCAGGTTCGGATGAGCAATGTCCGTTATCTGGCCGAACTGACCAAGTTTGGTGTAGTTCCGGAGCATATCATCTTCCATTGCTTCAAGGTTTCGCTGGATGACTTTTCGCGCATGAACATTGAGATCATCGGGCATCTCCTGGAGAACTGTGGACGCTATCTGCTTCGGAACCCTGACACGTCCCCGAGAATGGCTTCCTTCCTGGAGACTCTAGGAAGGAAGAAGACTGTCCAGCATCTGGGTCAGCAGGAACGAATGATCATCGAGAATGCAGTCTACTACGTTGATCCGCCACCGCGGCCTGCCATCCAGCAGAAGGAGCGCACCCCTATGGAGTCTTACATTCGGAGACTGGTCTATCTGGATATGAACAAGCGCAACTACACCAAGATCTTGAAGTCGATCCGCAAGCTTCATTGGGAGGAGCAAGATGTAAGTACAGCATGGAGCGATGCGGTGTACGAATATTATACTAACTGTGTGATAGGTGGTCGATATTTTGGAGCGCGTCTTCAGCAAACCGGTGAAGGTCAAATATGGCAACATCCACCTTCTCGCGATCCTCGTCAGTGCCCTTTATAGGTATCACCAGGATTTTGTCATTGGCGTTGTGGACAACATCCTCGAGCAGATCACGCTGGGTCTGGAGCAGAACGATTTCAAGTTCAACCAGAAGCGGATCGCTGAAGTCAAGTACCTCGGAGAGCTCTACAACTACAAGATGATTGACTCACCGGTGATCTTTGACACCTTGTATCGCATTATTACCTTTGGTCATGGTGAGTGAGTCGACACCATCCGCGAAACGTCATTAACAGCTCTCAGAGGGTGGTACGCCCATGCCTGGAAGGATCAACCCGCTGGATCTGCCCGATGATTTCTTCCGTGTCCGTCTGGTCTGCACTCTTCTCGACACCTGCGGCCACTGCTTCGATCGTGGCTCTGCCAAAAAGAAGCTTGACTTCTTCTTGACCTTCTTCCAGGTATGTGCGCCACTGTTCGCAAGAAAATTAAAGCTAATTTAGTCAGTACTACATGCATACGAAGGATCCCCTGCCAATGGACGTTGACTTCCTAGTCCAGGATACTTTCTCCATGACTCGTCCTCAGTGGAAGCTAGCAGCTGATCTGGCCGAGGCTACTCAGATCTTCAGCGAAGCTGTGGCGCAGAACTTTAAGACGCAGGATGCAGAGAGACCTGTCGAGCCTGATGAAGACGATGCGGACAGCAGCTCGTCGGACGAAGGTTTGGAGGAAGATGCAATGCTCGAAGAAGAGGACCAGGAGTCGAGCGACGAGGCTGAGGTTCGTTGATCGACGTCGAGACTGTGACTATATACTAATGTGTCAATCAATAGGTGTCCGGTCCGAACGCCGAACAAAATGGCGACAGTGAGTCCGAAGACGAAGAGATCTTCGTAACTCGACAGGAAGAGGAACGCGACCCAGAGGCGGAAGCCGAATTTGACCGCGAATTCGAGAAGATGATGGCGGAGAGCATGGAATCCCGGAAATTCGAACGCAAGGGTGTGTTTGACATACCTTTGCCGATGAAGCGGTCTGGACGTGAGGCAGCGCTTGAGACGCCCCCGCCAGAGGCACCCAAGCCCACGAATAACACCATGGCGTTCTCATTGATGACGAAGAAGGGGAACAAGCAGCAGGTAGGTTCTCCATCTTTTTCCTTGTAAGGCTCATGACTAACCATGCAGACCCGCACGATCGACCTGCCCTCCGACTCCAGCTTCGCCGTGGCAATGCGAAGCCAGCAGCAAGCCGACCGCGAGGAACAGCAACGGATCAAGAACCTGGTCCTCAACTATGAAATGACCAATGAAGCAGAGACCAACACCGATGGTACGTTCTTTGCAGTATTTCGGATGTAATCTATATACTGACAGTGCTGCAGCCGCAGAGAAGCGTTCCCCCCATCGCGATACCAGAATGGACAAATCAAGCGCGGCCAGGGCGGCTTTCCGATCCCGGAAACTCCAACTGAGCGACGTGAACTGGTAGATGATGCCTTTGATGGAAGCTAACAGTCATGGTATACATTCATGAACTAGAGAAAAGACCAGCAGTGCGCTGTTCGGACTAGTCTCTGACTAATACGCTTTTCGCGTCAGTCGTCCCATCAGTCAATGGGTTGATTGTTTGACAGCTTGTCACAGACGCACACTTATTTACCTGGTGTGCATGGTTTCAGCCTAATCATGTGCAGACAAGACCTTGTCTGACTGTCAACCAACCACTCGGTTATTGATACATCGGCGATGTGATGTGGAAGTGAATGGGTATGTCGCATGCATTCCCAAGCATAGCAAACAGATCATCTGTTCAACACAGTGATCATTCCTTACTTTGTGTGTGGTTCCCCCCGACACAGAACAACTGCCAGTGCTTTGTTATAGGGAGATAGAAGAGATTCCCTGGGCACGGCATGATCATATCCATCCTGCTCCCTTTTTCTTCTACTACTCTCCCCCACTGGCTAACTCCAGCTGGGTAGCGCAGAAGGAGATAGACGTGATGTGAGGAGACGTGATCTATTCAATCCATTACCTGCCATGGAAATGCCACATACATCCATTACACAATCACTCACTCGCATGAGCCATCCTACAGCCAGTTAAATTAGAAATCATCTCATATCGAATCAGAATGTATCCTACTTTTTCAAAGAACCACGTTTACTACTTCAACAAAATGGGCTAAAGATACTGCAATGGAAAGAATTCATCTATGTCTATTCAATCTACTTCGCTCTCCCTCTCTCCTCTCTTTTGGACCGAGATGCTAAACATGGAAAAGAAAAGGTACAAGTACAGGTGCAGTGCAGGGGGCAGTTACTTAGATACAGTGTGACCCAAAGGAGAAAAATAAAAGGAAAAGTGGATATAGAGATGGTCGGGGATGCTGATAGATCAACCAATCGATGAGTTGAGTCAGAGTCAGACTGGAGATGGGAGCAGAGACAGGGAGAAGAGGAGGTAAAGAATAGCAGAAGAATATCACCGAACAGAGTAACGGAGAATAGAATGAACGAAGAAAATGGGAAGGGAAGAGACTGAGTGGACGAGCGGGTATAAATATGAGCTGAAAAAAAGAAATCATGCATGCATATAGTAATACACTGGCTTGCCCGATCTTATACATCTCCCATCCTTCTTCTCTATTTATTCAAATCACATATGCTTCCTGTTCTTCGATATTCCAATGCTGCATCTTCCAAACTCTGCCATATGGTATATTCATTGCTTATTTCTCCGTCTGGGGAACAGCATCATGAGCCGCCTTGGGCACCAAGGTCTCCGCCTCAGCCAGTTCACCCTTCTCGGCGAGTTCCTGTTTCGTCTGGGCGTTGATCTCCTGTGCATGGGCGCGCTTCTCCTCGGGGTGGGAGGCAGCTTCGATCTGAGCGGCCGTCACGGGCTGCTCGTCACGGGCCTCGGGAGCGGGAACGGCAGCAGCAGCAGCCTCCTCGTCATCTTCGAGCTCAGCACCGTACACGTCGGGGTGTAGTCTGAAGCAGTCTTGCATGCCCCTGTTAAGTAGTGGTTCCCCGCATTAGTAATGCATTCTATGGTTATGGTTCGGAGACGAGTATACGTACTTGAACTTCTCAATGCAGTCAATACCCTTAGGCTCCTCAGAGGAGTACACGAAGCAGCTGAAAGCAGCCTTGAACTCCTCACCGCAGGGTCCGTGAGCCATACCGCCCAGACAAGGGCAGTCCCAGTTAATCTCGCCGGTCTCGGGGTTGAAGGCGCCTTCCTGGCCGGCCTCGGCCTCAAGCTCCTCAGGGGACATCATCGAAGCAGATTCGGGGGAGGGTTGTTGCGCATCATCTTGGGGGGCTTCGGAGGCAGCAGGAGTGGGAGCGGGAGCAGGCTTCTTCTGCTTCTGTTCGCGGATCTTGGGCTTGATGGAGTCGATGGTGAGAGAAGATTCGGTTTCGGCGGAATCGGAGTTAGATTGCGAAAGAAGAGAGACTGCATCATTAGCTAGCTGAACAGGGTCTGATGGGAGGGGGTGGTGGTGTGATGAATTTCTTTCTCTCTTCCGAGGCATGACGGCGAACCGCCATGCATGCGGTAGGAAAAAACCCAGCGGCAACGGGCAGCGGCAACAACGTACAGGACGGGGTTTGAGCGAAGTAGGGGCTCGTGTTGTAGTAGTAGACAGCGCCAATGGCCAGACCCAAGCGGGCAGCGGTGTTCTTCCAACTCCTCGGCTTGGAGTCGGCGGGTGTGTTGGTGCTTATCAATCGTCTGGCAGCCGGGCCACGGACTGCGACGGCCGGTGCGCGGAGGATAGCTCGAGGTGCGGAGCGAAACATGGCGGGTGAGAGTGGGGGAAGTTGGGATTGACAATTAAGGGAGGTGATGTAAAGAGGAGAGGAAGAGGGAGGGGGTATCACCGCGAGGCGAGCGGCATGAATTGGGCGGGAAACCGACGGATGGGAGTGGATGGAGGTGGACGGGGATGAGAGATGGAGATGGAGATGCAAACCAATTCCACCACCTCGATTTGACGCTGGATGCCTCAGGCAGGTATGTTCTTGCCTGTTTGGGCTGTTCTGCTGGTCCGCCCCGGATTGACCAATCAGAGGGGGGCGCGATACGCTGTTGGTGCTGCCAGTGCTGAATTGCATGGATGGGATGCTTCTCCTCATTTTAGTGTCATCTGGTTATACCGAGTAGTTGAGCTGAAATCATGTAGATAAAAAGAGGTGGCCCCGGAGGGTATGTATTGAGTCTGTTGAAGTTCATTGTCTACTCCGGTCTGCAGTCCGATCTACAATCTTGACTATATACAGGTTACACAGTACACAAGACATGAAGATGTATACTGGACAGAAGATGATGGCACCTAGTATGGCTTTTACACTACGGGATGAATCCACATTGACAATCACTAATGCTTCACAGTCAGCATCCCCAGTCAAGTCCCACTGGAGATCCTGCTCCTCCTCTTCGGCCTCTGCAGACCAGTCGAGCAATACATGCTCCTCTTCTCCGCCCCCGAGCTCATCCATCGACTCTCCTCCAAGCAGCTCATGACTCGGGAAGCCAACGGGGACACTCTCCTGCACATCCTGGCCAAAGACCAGGGTCCATCGCGACAACTCGCGCGGGCTCTCTTCAGCAAGAAAGACCTAGACGTCAACGTGCAGAATAACAACTGGAAGATCCCCTTGGTATGCGCAGCCCAATACGGGAACCACTGGCTCGTCAAGCTGCTGCTCGAGCGGGGTGATTTCAACAGCTACATGCTGGACTACTTCTACTTCACGCCGCTGGTGTGGGCAGCCAAGAAGCAGGACGAGGGGTTAGTGAAGATCTTACTGGCGAACAGGAACGTTCGGCCAAATGAAGTGGATATTTTCCGGCGAACAGCATTGTCGTATGCAGCAGAGTATCGGAATGAGGCGATTGTGCGGTTGCTGCTCGCAGATGAGGATGTTGATGCGGAGTGGAGTGATGAGACGGCGCGATCACCACTGTCTTATGCGGCAGAGGCTGGGAGTAAGAAGATTGTGGAGTTGCTGTTGGACCGCGAGGAGGTGAATGCGCATTCGGTGGATTCATTTATGAAGACGCCATTTGTGTGGGCGGCAGAGTATGGACATTTGGAGATCATGATGAGGCTGGAGGAGTGTGAGTATTGATGCAATATTTCTGTTCAATTTGATTCTCACATATAGTACAAACACTTGTAAGTAGTTGACGATGCTATGACTGAATGATATGCAAGCACACCACCAATAACCTCCCTGAAAGTATTTAGTCATCCATGATAGAAGATCACTGAGGGGTAGTAGTGATCGCGTGCACATTTAGTATCTAATCTACTAATCAAGAAACTATATCAGCATCAGAACCCCAAGGACACTCTTATGGACGGAGAAAGTTGTTATCACCGAACTCTACCAAATTTTCGCGGGACCCAAAACACACCCCTCCCTCTCACCCCACCATATCTTATCTTCCACTTCCTAATAACATAACTACCTACTACTAACATAGTAAATCTGTTCATACTCATATACCCACTATTGAACCTACTCAAATACCCATCCAGCTATCCATGGCAACTACAAGGTTAATGACCTGGGACCCAACCCAATTCTTCCGAACGGAAGAAGGCCTTCCCTCGAGTCCCTACGCCCTGCTCATCCTCAACCATCCAATCAACGAGAGAGCATATGATGTTTTACAACAGCATGGTATATACCACACTCTATACACAGATGCTATACCGGAAGATAAATACTGAAAAGAAGATAGCACTAACAACCGTCTGCGCCGACGGCGGCGCCAACCACTTCTACGAGATGATGAAAGCGCGGGGCAGAGAGGATGTAGATGTATGTATACCCTCTTCAGCATGCACATACCCTGGGCTATAACTACTACCTCTGTATCTGTATATGCATATGCTATGCATTTATATGGAGTTTCATTTGCACATATGTCTATGTTAAATCTTGTATTACACAATACGTACTACCCTACCCTCCTCACACCACCATCATCACCACCATAACCCCAAGCTACAATACTAATAAATGAAACAGCACCCCACCACCATAATCGGCGACCTGGACTCCATCCACCCAACAATAAAGTCCCACTACGAGTCACACGGGGTAATCGTGATCTACCACCACGACGACTACAGTACCGATTTCACCAAAGCATTGCGGTATATTCGCGCCAACACTGCCGAAATCTTATCATCCTCATCATCATCCACCACCACCCACCAACAATACAAAGAAAGTGACAGCTTGTCAATACTAATCCTCGGCGGCCTCGGCGGCCGCGTCGATCAGGCTTTCTCGCAGATCCATCATTTGTATTCAAACTCCACTATTCCTTCTTCTTCTACCGAAGGGGATAGGAAGGAAGGTGCATTATATCTCGTCTCGGAAGAAAGTATCACGTTCATCTTACATCCGGGGAAGAATGTGATTCGCACTCCTGGGGTGAAGAGGGCTGATTTGTCTGTCTCTACTACCTCCGGGGAAGGGAAAGAAGAAGCAGAAGAAGGAGAGTATCTACTGGAAGAGAACGTGGGCATTATTCCACTCTCTGGACCGGAGCGAATCACGACGAAAGGATTCCAGTGGGATGTGGAATCCTGGGAAACGGAGATCGGGGGCCAGATTAGTACAAGTAATCATATTCGGGCGGAGGAGGTGGAGGTTAGTGCTGGGGGAGCGGTGTTGTTTACGGTGGAGTTGGCGGGGAGGTTTAAGCGGTCTTCTTCATCTTCTTCTTCTTAGATTATTTCATGTGGTTGTTTGTTGGATTGGTGGCTGGTATAGATGTTGGTATTCATTCATCCTAACATTTAGACTTAAACATATCAAGCAATACTACAGCGCCCATCGCCCTCAAAGCATAGCAGTAACAGCAGTCCAGTCCGCTGATACGCCCTGACCCGAAACAACCAAGGATAACATAGATGGAAGAAACCAAAACGAAGCCAAAACTCAAGAATACTCAGTCAACACCCCAATCACACCTCTAACCCTCATCATCTGTACTCTGTCCACTCACCACTGCCGTTGCCAACTATACATCACTTCCTCAGAATCGCCTCATACAAAGTCCCAATCACTCCAATAGCACTCCCCGCCAACGCCCCATTCAATCCCCAAGGAACAGATCCCTCCAACCGATCAATCGTCAACCCCTGATAAGCACCCCAGAAGGTGAACTGCTCCGTGTAGACCAAATACGTGATAACCGCCTTAGCAATATAGAAGCTCAACGGATCGAAGCTCGCATGCACACCAGCACGACCGCGACGAACCTGCGACCCAGCCTGCGCGGCCTGCAAGCTCAGATTGAAAAAGTACGCGACAGTAAAGGGCAGCGCCGCACTAATCAACGCCCACAGCGAGACAACAGCCCAGAAATGCCCCTCGACCAGAATGAAAATGTCCGGAATGGCGATCTTCAAGTCCGAGATATGCGTCCACGGGGGCATGGGGACAGTGCCCACGTAATTCCAGGGCACAACAGCCCGCAACACGTCAAGGGCTTCAACCGATAATATCAACGTGCCAAAGGCCTTGACGCTGCTAAGGTTGGAGCGGAGCGACTCGGTACGCTCGTGCACACCCGTTTCCGACCACAGTTCGCTAACGGACTTGCCCCACGCGGCTGTCTGGCGATCAATCACGTCGGTAACCACGGCCGGCGAGGGCGGTAGCTCCGACACCAGCGATGACATCGTTGGCGGCTGCACGCCCACCACCTGTCCGGGGGTTTGGGGCTCAGATTCTTCTCTGTGGGAAGTTAGCGAAATTGAGGCCAAAAAACAGTCGCGACAGTGAGAAGTTATCGTGCGCGGGGTATCATACGTAGGCTCGCGCTCCACCTTGGCCTTCACCTGTCTCCGGCGCACAGATCGAGGAGCTTCATCCGGCGTTGGAGAGGCTTCAACCTTGGGGGCTCTCTTGGTGGGGGAGTACACGCGCGGGGATTGCGACAGTCGCCGGTAGTAATCGGCCAGACGCGCGTCGGTTTTGAAGATAGACTCATTGGCTTGGAGATGGCTGTCCAGAGCGGCAGCGAGGTCTGGTTTGGTGAGGTCCTCATAGCTATTGCTTTGTTAGAAGAGAGAGGGGAGAGAGGGTGTGTGTGCGCGCGGCACAGCGCAATGCCAGTCATTATGGACATGGGGAGCTGCTTACTCCTGGAGGTCAGTGAGCTCAGCCCATTCTGCAAGTTGGGGCTTGCGCAGTTTCTGCAAATAAGGCAATCCGGTAGGCATGACGATTCGCGCGGGTACGGGATCCACGTTAGACCATGCGACCAGTGGCACAAGTGCAAGGTATAAAGATAGGTGGGTGGGTAGATAGTATAAGGGTATATAGATAGGGAAAGATAAGTAGGGAGGGAGGAAGAAGGAAGTAAGTAGTAGTAGTAGTAGTAGTAGTAGTAGTAGTAGTGGTGGGAAAGGTAAACAAGGTAAGGTAGTAAACAAGAGACAGGCGAACAGGAGAGGAGTAGTAGTACCAGCGAGTAGTAACCAGAGCCAGACTAAGAGAGGGAGTGAATCAGTCGCAGTTCAGCGAGCATCTCGTGAGGTCACAGCGGCGGAGGAGCCAATCCAGTCCGGCTGCTGCTCTGACCGCATCCGGCTTTTGTTTACTTTTTCTCATTCGCGCCCCTCGGCAACTGGCGGGTTTCTCTTTGTCGATCGCTTTGTTATTGTTGTTGCTAGTCTAGTAATTATCTCTGGTTCTACTCAAACTCTCTTCTCTCTCTTGAAGAATAATATACAATGCTTCATTACCAGCCCTGGTCTAATGTCTATCAATGTAAAAGTATCCGTACATGAGATGATGTCCTTCCTCCTATAAACAAAATGCGCGCCCTGAACCACAACCACCCGATCATGCAATCATGCAAGCTCTCAACATGCCGGGAAAACGACGGGAGGGGAATGGGAATCCAATAATTAGAAGACAAGAAGCCGAAAAGAAAAGAAAAGAAGAAAGAACAAAGAAAAAATCATACCACTCCCGTCCGGTCACCCTTCCAACATAGCCGTCTATAATGCTCATGCTCATGCTCATGCTCATGCTCCGGTTGTGGTGCGCTCTTTTCTTTTTATCTACAGCGGACACCCCACCGTGTGTCCCGGACACCCGCTGATAGTAATCTCACTATCGGCTCGCAGATGCCAAATCTTCAATGCAAGTTAGAAGCTTACCCTCACAAAGGGCTCAGGTCTTCCACCCCCTGGTAAGCTTCCAGTTTCTTCAAAAGGTACTGGTACATGACCAGCATTGTTCCACTTTGAATGCTGGTCCACACTCCGCGGGGTCCGACTCCGCGGAACCACCCCGCAATGCCCTCGGTCTGGTAGATCATCTTCAAGCCAGTGAAGAAAGACGAGGTATCCAGACGGGGAGCCCCGGGCGGCGCGACCGACGTCGATGCTCCAGACGTCGAGATGGGTCGCGAGTGGGTGCGCAGGGTGGACGTCGTGTGCGATGACGTATGCTGGCGCGGGCTCTCCTTCGTCGACGCAGGTTCACCCGCCGACTTGGTCGAGCTCAAGCTTTCCGGGTTCTGCTGCGTCTGGATACGCGTCTTGACAACGTCCATCGGGCAAGTCATCACACCTGCCATTCCACCAGCCGTAACCGCAGTCATAATTTCCAAAGGCAGTCCAATGTCTCGCGAGCCCACCCATTCCTTCGCCAACCGTTGTTCTTGCTCGTAGAATGCGAACTGCAGGGCCGAGAAGGGAAGGTCACGATAGATGGTCGCCCGGTAGCCGTAGAAGAGGGCAGAGAAACCCTCCTGGCGAACAATCGTGCGTAGAGCATCCGTGGTCGAGCGGTAGTTGTATCCCGAGTTGAAATGCGGGTTGTTGTAGCGTCCCTGCAGCTGCAGCCGCGTCTTCAAAACCTCGGAGGGAACGTATACGATGGAGGCAGCCAAATCGGCGAAGAAACCTAGCGGCAACCGAATTAGTATCGCCCACCCATGGCGAAGCAACAAACACCCTTACCTCCAGACAGGTACGCAATATTAGGGTTGATCCCAGAGTCGATCATCTTCCGCTTGGTGAACTCGTAGACACCAAAGAAGATGACCGTTCCAGGGAAAGACCCAAACAGCGCCGGCGTCACACCACCGTACAGACCACGGAAGAATCCCTCTTGTCGATAGATGGTCGCATACGACGAGGTCATAGAGGTATATTTCGGAGGGAAGTGGGGATCGCCTTGCTGTCGAGTCTTCACCGTATCTAACGAATGCATGAGCATGTCACCGCAGGTACCTCCGGTACCTCCAGCCAGCATAGCCTATCCAAGCAACGATGGTCAGAATACAGCTGAGATTATATCCAATCAAGACAAAGCTTGCCAAACAGTCGCACTCCATGAGACCAACAAACATACATGTAGATAGGGAGGCCGAGGCTCCTCCTCATCCGCAAGGGACGTAGCCTTCTGAGCATTATGGTCGCTGGATGCGCTTATCGGACCGGCGGAATGAAAGACATGGTCGCTGCTAGCGGGAGCAACGTTGGGGAACTGAGAGGCCGACGCAGGAGAAGGGGGATCGGTAGACGGTGTCTCTGTCGTCGTAAACAGGCCCAAGACGCGCGAGGTCAAGCTCATTGCAAGGATACCGCAACCCACCGGATCGTGGTGCGGACCAGACCACGGGGGTTGGGATGCGGCGAGCGACTGTGGTTTAACGGAAGGACGCCACCCCGGACAAGAATGGGATGACAGTCGAGAGGAACTGGGCGTAGAGCAAGGCGGGAGAAAAGGTGGATTCCGGGGGAATTTATGTTGCCAACACTGGTCGGGAGAGGGGAGTTGGGAGCATCGCACCTCTCGATGATAAAAAAAGATCTTTCGGGCATCATCGCCAGCGTCCGGGAGGCCCCAAAATTTCGGTCGGTTTCCTGTTTTCTCCGCCGTCCGAGTTAGAATCGCAGCCTCAGGCATCTGTCTTTTAAAGCTTCCGCCGGGCAATCCGCCTATCGCTGCGTTGCTTACGCGCTGACTGAGCCGTGGCCACTGCATCACAATTCTGCGCTCGATCGGAAGTCTAATCGGACCCGCCGGACGCCGACGCTCGCCATAGGCTACTTCCCATCCTACTAATCCCTCATAATCCGGTGGGAAGGCAGAGTACGACAGCCACTAACATTATACTGTCGCATTGGAATATATAACAATGAGACATATTCAAGGACAGAAAAAACTTGCTGAGACATTTCACGTAACCTTCCTCCGCGTTCTTCCCCCGAGCAGTTAAAAGTACCATCCCGGATGCTACTCCCAAATCTCACTTCGTCTCGCCTCCACTATTCACAACCTTCATTGTTCATCAAAGGGCCGTGCTCCTCGGCCAGGGCGACATCGCTGGCCATGGAGATTCATTACCGGCACATCAGTCTCAATGATCGGTGTCCAGAACAAACGGCTCCCAAAAATCCTATGCACGTAGAATCACGGGGCAGTTCACCAATTCCGTTGTAATCCTGAACGTCCTAAACCAATCCTGATGGCCCTCTATTGGGGCTTCTTCGCAGCACCGGAGCTCATACGGTTGAGGTCGGTAGCCTCGTAGGCCTGGCCCACGGCAGCCTTGAGAGACTCCCAACCCTGACGAACCGCAGGGGGGGTGCTCTGGTGAGAAACCGAAGCATCGACTCTCGCGATGAAGTGGCGGACCGCCTGCTGCACAAAGGAGCTCTGGGAGTATCTGGCGCGGAAAAAGGCCAGGTAGAAGAAGAACAGCACAAAGCTACCCTTGGAGAAGGTGAGGATGCCGACGGCCAAGCGGAAGAGGAGAGACATCTCCAGCTGTGCGACCAGGTGCATGCTGGCGTCATAGTACTGCTTGACGAACCGTCCAATGGTATCGGCCAAGGGAGAAGGTCTGGCGGCGGGCTTAGGACCGCTAGGAGAAGCGGGAGAGGCCGGGGCACCCGGGGCGGGACCCTGAATGGTGGGAATCAGGTGGGCACGAGTGTAAGTCGCAACATGGAAGATGGAGTAGACGCTGAAAGGAAGCAGGGCCAACGGGATCTGGCGCGAGTAGAGCCAGACCAAAGCCATACCTAGTTACGCTTATCAGTATCATTGTCTTCGCTATTTGATCGCCATCACTTACCGAGGTACTGGACATTTTCATCACCAGCCAGCTTCAGCGCAATGTTGGGAACACTGCCCTGGAGACGGCCACGGGCAATGTGTCCCTTGTACACCACAATTCCGTATGTCGCGGCAGCGGAAACAAACGCAAGGCGGTAAGCTACCTGCGCCGACGAGGAGTAATAGTTGAACGTAATGTAGGACAAAACATAGCGGAAAACCGAAAGGAGCAGCGTCACATGCCTATGATGCGTTAGCGAATATGCTCGGACCGACCGTTCAAAGCGAGAGCCGGTGAGGGATGGTGCGGTGGGCATGTCCTGCTGGACAGGCCCAAGACCGAGGTTTTATTATTGTATGATGCAACGTCGCCAAAAAGAACAGACAGTGCGAAATAGGGCGGAGCTATAACCTACCCAGCGAACCAAGCAAATCTAAGTAGAGGAGACCTCGTCAGTACCAGCCGTCAGTTCCGGGACATGCGACACATACTGCAGTGTTTGAGCCAAAGCCTTGAGTCTCTCAGGCAGAGGCAGATTAGCGGGCGGAGCAGGGGCCATTGCGATCGCTTGTCCCGGGAAGTCGGATGAAGAAGGAGGAATGTAGGGAGGGTCGTTGGTTAGTAGTAAGAAAGGGCCGAGATACCGGGGGTGGAACGGGCGATGCGGCACTGGAGCAGCCAACAGCAATAGTGGATGAGAAGGGAAAGGGAAAAGGAGGAGAAGGAACGAAGAAAGAATATCGGGGAAACTAATTGAGCGGTGGAAGCAGATGGATATCCACTTGGGAAGGGAGGCTGGGCGGGGACGGCGGTGGGTTTTGGCCTTGAAGGGAACGAACGGCGGTTCTGGTGCAAGTTGGAGAGAGTAAGTTGCCAGCTGAGGGAAGAAGCTACTACTTTTAGTCCTATTCAGCCTAGTAGTCTCGCTCGGTCAACTGGTTCGTTCGAGCATCAGCCGCACTCCCGTGACGTCGCCCGCCCGCAATGATGCAACACAACCGTCGGTGGAAAAAAGCTTATCGATGTCTTGATCCAGGCGAGCTCTTCCCCAGGTCGTGTGCAATTCTATTCTGGGTAATTGTTGGCTGGTATCCGGATTAATGATTGATTCTACTGATTTGATCTTCCGGTCACTGAGGGCTTTTATGCTTAGCAAAATCGATTCCTCAAAGAAGCATCCAGCAGTATCCAAAACATGAGCAACTACAGACGATACTCTGATATCCTATTTTTGATACGAGCAGATAGGGGGATTCATCGTGAGCGACAAAGCTGCCCCACCCACATTTCTAGGTGTTGAGCTGGATACTGCTCGATTGTTCTGAATTGAAATTACTATATCACAATAGGCATATATCCAGCCTACACGCTTCTTACTGAATACGCCTTTCGTCGAATAAGCTCC